AAATGTTTTCGATGCTATGCAGATCGGCTCCTTTTATGGGCCAAGGCAGCTTCGTCAGGCAGCGCTCCTCGAGGAGATACGAGTGTGACAGCGCCTTTTCCACTTCGGCGCTTTCTTGAATTAAACTGAAATTCATGGTAGCTGAAGACGTGAACATTGGGCTAGCAGACGGCCGGAAAAGCGCAGTGGCGCAGTGAGCGCAAGTGATAATTTATCTCGGCCTCGGTGTCCGCCGTGTTTCGGGAGCGATGCGACAGGCGGCGCAGGTAGTACCGTGCACATAGGGTGCCTAGATGTCTGTCTGTCTCAGGGTGAAGACATCCATTGTTGTCCGGAATGTACCAGCGCGTGACGCTCTCGCGCACTCGGTGCGTGACTTGGGCGGTAAGATGGCGTCTATGCACCAGCCAAAGCTACGCGCTCGAGCTGAGTGACACCGGATTGCGCGCACTTCAAAATGCATAAAAAAACGATTGGGCGGAAAAATGGCTGAGATGTCACCACTCAAGCAAAAGCGCGCGTGTGTATGAAGGCACTCTACGTGCACAGGCCGGAGCGCTGTTTCAGCTCATATTGTCCACGATAGTACTAGGAGGGGGCACGTTGCAATATTGGTGAAGCATAGTCATAAAAAGTTTAAACGATATTGTGCCCAACGTGACCGCAGATTTCTCTGGCGATTGGTTCGCGTGACATGTCACGTGCGAGATGGATGGATGATTGTAGAAGGATTCCTTGCAGGGCGCGCTCCGTCCGGTAGGTTTTATCAGATCGAAGGCTAGATATGGTCACGTGATGTGGTCATGTTGGGCTGATAAGTGAGGAGAGTAAGGAGGAAAATGAGAAAGAGGCGAGGCGTTAAGGGAGCCTGGCTTGTGGAGGCTACGCGGCTGACGTCATGCCCTCAACTACCCTTCTATTCTCCATGGTTTTCCACGTGCCAACGCGCCGCTGTTCGCCGAGATCCGATCACGTGAGGAGCCGGATAAAGTGCCGTGCAAAAAAGTAGACATTGCACGCGCCCCGCCGTACGTACCCCTGCTTTTGAACGCGCCGTGCGCCTCGAACGCGCGGCGCCGCTAATCGCCGAATTCAGTCACGTAAGGAGCAGGATCAACATGCCGTGCAGGAAAGACGGCGCTACGGGGATGAACGCGCAACTCCGCCTCCCGTAGGGAGCCCATACAGGAATTCTACGAGTTAGTAAATGCCCCTCATGTTTCAAAAGTAGCGCAAGGTGCGTCGTGGCACGTGCAACGTGCAACCCTTGGGAACATCATGGCGGCACAGTGCGGCACTGATACAGTGTTGCATTGAGCTAGATTTCAGATGCCACGTTTTTCCCAGAAGTGGCGCGCGGCACGTGTCTCGAGCATTTCCACAGCAATGAATGGCGCCACTTTTCTCAGGATAGAGGGGCTTTACTAGTTAGCGTACGTTAGGATGCCTACATGTCGGTCTGTCTCAGGGTGAAGACATCCATTGTTGCCTTGAATAAGTCAGCGCGTGACGCTCTGGCGCATTCGGTGCGTGACTTGGGTGGTAAAATGGCGTCTATGCATTAGCTAGAGTTCCTGTATACGCTCCCTGCGGGAGCCAGAGTTGCGCGTTCATCTCCGTAGCGCCGTCTTTCCTGCACGGCATGTTGATCACGCTCGTCAAGTGACTGTATTCGGCGAATAGCGGCGCCGCGCGTTCGAGGCGCGCGGCGCGCTCAAAAGCAGGGGAACGTACGCCGGGGCGCGTGCAGCGTCTACTTTCCTGCACGGCGCTTGATCCGGCTCCTCACGTGATCGGATCTCGGCGAATAGCGGCGCGGCGGCACGTGGAAAACAGACGCGCAACTCTGGCCCCCGTAGGAACTCTAGCATTAGCCAAAGCCAAGCGCTCGAGCCGAGTGACACCGGATTGCGCACACTTCAAAATGCATAAAAAAACGATTGGGCGGGAAAATGGCTGAGATGTCACCACTCAAGCAAAGGCGCGCGTGTATAAGAAGGCACTTTGCTACTAGTTAAAGTCCCCTGATAAAGTTTAAGTACCGCCAACTATTGTGAAAACGCGGAAGCCACGAGCGGCAGTGCCGTGTATATATACAGAGAGTTTGGTCAATGGGAGGCGCGGGCAGAGCGAGGGCGTGCCCCAGGCGCAGAAAGTGGGCTTGGCATGCTCTAGGCCAACCAGAAGCCAAAAAGAATCCCCCTAGCGGTGGTAGCGAGAAACTGTTTTAATCAAAGGTTCGTATATCATAGTACCTCCAAATGCCATAGAGAATACATGTAGATTTTTGACGTTTTAAAAAATTCCTGCATGACGACTGCTCTTTGTATTTGCTTGAAACTTTTACGATAAAGAGATTAATACTTAATTCGCGCATTGGTGCAGATAATATCTCTCAGTATTTAGTTAAAATTTTTTTTTAATCGTGAAATCGACTCAAAATGGTTGTTTTGACACTTGGGTTCAACGACGTTTTACATAATCTACCAATTAAAAAAAAACAGTTGTGTTCGCGCCAGTGCCTCTAAAATTTAATACGGAATCGATTGCTATAAATATAATTAGTGTAGGTTAATCTGTTTCGAAACTACAGCGATATTTCCGAAATCAAGTTTCTTCCGGAAAAGAAAGCAAAGCTATTTAGGTGTGTTCTGCATTTTGTTTTCCTCCTGCTAGATGGCGGCCTCTGTCCACAAGGACGAGAGATTAACTAGTTTCGTCGTGTAGCCCAGTTAGTGTAGCTTGGTGCACACTTTTTTTTTTATTCACACGCGATTTTTTTTTTTTTTTTTTTTGAGTACGGTTTAGTTTAATGCAGCCGCGCTTGGCGTTTGGTGCGTTCGAATGTTTGCCGCTCGGAAGTGTTACGTTCGCCTCTTGGGTCATGGGTCGAAAGGAGGCTTCCTATGGCAAGCGAAAGCTTCAGAAGTCCCTAATTGAGAATACTCGTAAACGACAGTGTGTGGAAGCTTCGCACGTTGAGGTTTCTGGTGAGATCGACCGGTGGTGAGAAAAAACGCTGCTTACTATCGCTTACTATAGCCGATTGCTAAATTCTATTTCAGGTATTAATCTTCAGATCCAGTGTTGTAAAATTCGCAAGATATCAAACTCGTGAAAAAACACGGTTACATTAACTATTGTTGAAGTTATGGTTCAATGAAGCCCTAAAAAAATAATGTAGTTGGCAGGCACGTAGCCAGGATTTTGTTTCGGGGGGGGGGGGGGGGGGGGGGGGCGTTCATGACAAAATGCTGTACGAGGGGGAGGGGGGAGAGGAGGTTCCGGCAAAATGGAAGATTTCGGGGGGGGGAGGGCCGGTGGGCCCCCCCCCCCCTCCCCCTGGCTACGTGTCTGGTAGCTTGTATAGACATCAAGACCTGTCTGTCACGCAAGTATTTCTGGGGCTGTCCTTGTGCGAAACCCTGGAACAGTTTATCGCATTCTCTCTGATCGCCTGCCCTCGCCGAAGTGACCGGTTCAGGGAGAGGTGACATCTGTAGAGTGTAGATAGGGGTAGCTGCGAGGTGGCCCCCTTTTGTTGTGCGTAAGCAGTGAGCGAACACCAACCGGACAGGCGCAGATTGGGATCTCCACAAATAAAAAGACTTTTCATAACGATGGCGTCCAAATGGACGTTGTCGTCAACGACTAACACGAGAGTTAGCCCTCTCTAATAGGAAACTCATATGACGACAGCGGCTGTTTGGGCTGACGATGTGTTAAATCGCGCGTTGTAAAACATCTGCAACTTAATTGTGACTTTCGGCGAAGCAATAGTGTATTCCTACAAAAGGGATTTTTCCGCGAACATGAGGCTACGCCAGACCCCTGTGAGGAGGAGGAGGTGGTTCAGAAACTGCAATCGAGCATTTACAAAACGGAGTCCAAGTTGTCGACTAATTTTCTTATGCTCATTCTTGTGGTGTCCAGAGGGCACTACGAGCGCGGGGACGGTAGCCGGGCAAAAGAAAACCTGGTGCGTATGGGACTTCAGAGTTGTACTCGGCACGAGCGGTGCTGGAGGGTGGCAGTTGAATAAAGGTCTTCAAAAACGCAACAACTGGCGACGAGCGTCCAGCCACGCGAGCCCCGTCGAAGAGTCGCCCGCCGCACTACTCCCGGTGACGCCGCGACGCCATGGCGACCCTCGGTCGAATTGAACCGTTCGACGAAGCGGGCACGGACTGGCCAACCTACATCGAGCGACTCGACCAGTTTTTCGTCGCAAACGACGTCAAACCAGAAAGGCAAGTGGCAGCGTTCCTAAGCCTCATTGGCGCGAAGACGTACGCTCTGCTAAAGAGTTTGGTGGCGCCGGACATCCCGGCTAGCAAGTCGTACATCGAGCTGGTAGCCATATTGCGAGAGCACCTGTCGCCGAAGCCTCTTGTCATCGCGGAACGCTTCCGTTTTCACAAAAGAAACCAAAACGAGAATGAAAGTATCCTCGAGTTCGTAGCCGAGCTGAAAAAGTTGGCGCAGACATGTGAATTCGGCGGCACTTTGAACGAAGCCTTACGTGACCGCATGGTATGCGGCATTATCAGCGACTCCATTCAAAAGCGACTGTTGTCGGAAGCTGGCCTGACGTTTAAGAAGGCGCTAGAAATCGCAGTGGCGATGGAAGCCGCCTCCGCGAACGCACAAGTTTTACATTGCCGGAGCGCGGACGCCGAGGTGCTTAAGGTGGACCAGGACAAGTCCGAATGCAAGCACTGCGGACTTACGAACCACACAGCAACTAACTGCAGGTGGAAAGGCTTAGACTGTCGTAGGTGCGGAAGACGCGGACACCTTGAACGAGTGTGCAGGAGCCAGCAGTCCGGGCCAGCAGCTTCTCAGCATCGCGGAGCACCGACACGAGGCCGGAGGAATCAAGGGAAAAAGTCAAGACGCTGAACGTCGACACGGAAGACGAGGTCGAGATGTTCGAGCTTCGGGGGACACGTCCGCGGCCTCTGCAAGTAACAGTGAAGGTGAACACGATTCCGCTGACGATGGAAGTAGACACCGGGGCGGCGGTGTCGGTACTCCCGTTAGACCTGTACAAGACAAGGTTTCCCAATCTAGTGAAGGGAAGAAGTGGAGTCGTCCTTCGAGCATTTACCGGTAAAAAGGTGAAGCCGGTAGGAGAGGCACAGGTTGAAGTGGAGTACCAAGACCAGGTTCACAAGTTACCGCTGCAGATTGTGGACCTCAAGGGTCCCCCGCTTTTGGGACGTGACTGGCTGGAGGTGCTGAGGCTCGACTGGACAAGCATCAAGGCTGTCCAGTGCTTGGAGAAGGGGAGCAAGGAACAAGTCGACACGCTTTTGAAGGACTTTGCTCAGGTGTTCTCAGACGATCTGGGCCGTCTTCAGGGGTTTGAAGCTCACCTCAAGCTGAAGAGTGGGCACACTCCAAAGTTCCTCAAGCCAAGACCAGTGCCCCACGCCCTGAAGGAAGCTGTCTCTAAAGAACTGATGGCACTGAAGGAGGCGGGGATCCTGACCCCGGTGGACAGCAGCGAGTTTGCATCGCCCATCGTGCCGGTCGTCAAAAAGAATGGAGACATAAGAATCTGCGGCGACTACAAGTCAACAATCAACCCGTGCTTGGAGGTCGACAACTATCCGCTCCCCAGGATAGAAGAGATGTTTGCAACGCTGGCAGGAGGGAAGTTTTTCTCAAAGCTGGACCTGTCAAAAGCCTACCTACAGCTGGAGATGCATCCTGCAGCGCGGAAGTACCTCACCATCAACACCCAGTTGGGGCTGTTCCAAGTGAACCGTCTTCCCTTCGGCATAGCATCTGCACCCTCCATTTTTCAAAGAACTATGGATCAAGTGCTTCAAGGGCTGCCGCAGACCACCTGCTACCTGGACGACATCCTGGTGACTGGCAGAACGAAGGGTGAGCATTTTGAAAACTTGAAAGCAGTCTTAACACGATTACAAGAAAAGGGAATGCGTCTTCAGAAAGAGAAGTGCAAATTCTTCCAAACGGAAGTTGCCTACCTCGGGCATGTGATTAGTCGGGATGGTCTACGAACCATGGAGGATAAAGCAGCAGCACTTCGAGATGCACCCACTCCCAAGAACAAGGCAGAGTTGCGTTCATTCCTTGGGCTTGCTAACTACTATGGCAAATTTCTACCGAACTTAGCAACTACCGTGTATCCTCTGAATCGTCTACTGCAGAAGAAGGCTGCATGGGAATGGAGCACAGACTGTCAGGACTCCTTTGATTCGCTTAAAGGGCCCCTGAAAAGAAGAAAAAAGTTTTTCAAAAACAGTCTGGTTGAGACACGCGTGTCGAAAAATGAATTTTACGCGAAAAAAAAAATTTTTTTAGAGCAATATTGACTGCGCCAGACGCAATTTAGTCGGCAGTCACCTCCTTTCCACTTTTCTCTCTCTCGGCATCTCGGGCGCGTGGAGGAGAGATAGTCCCCGCCTCTTCGTAGTGGATCGGCTTGGCTGCTTTCCTGGCTTGGCTGCGCCCCGCACGAGAGCCATTGCTACTTCCTGGCCGTGTTCCAAAATTGACTCGATCTTACCCCAGGGTGAGGGTTTTGTACTCTTGGCGTTCTAAAACCTACCCGCGTACAGCGTTTTTCAATCTGTGCTGTCACGTGATACGATCCGCCGGAGAAACTCGGATCCATTTGGAGATTTGGAACACAGCCCCTGGCCGGCTGTCTGCCGGTCGAACGACATACCGCGTCGTATCGTGCACGTACCGTGGTCACCGTGGTCGTACACACAGTACATAGTCGTCGCGGTGGACCCCGACCTGAAGCGTCGGTTGCTTCAACGCTGCCAGCAGCTGGGCCTTCGTCCGTACGAGGACACGCCTCGCCAGCCGGAAGGCGTCCGCTCCGATCGCTGCGAGGCACCCGCTTCGCCGCGGCGAAGCGGGTGCCTCGAAGAGTTCGTTCGAGCCGCACGATCCTTCAAGCCGCCGCGAGAACACGCAGTGGTAACTGATTTTTTTTTTTTTTTTTTTTTTTTTATTAAACGTTGAGTGCGGTGCCGCGTGCCTCACTAAACTCTTTACGGGAACCGACATCTAAACAAACATTGGCACTGGCGCGCGCCAGAAAACAAACAAAAGATGAGGTAAACGGGACACACGAATCGCGCAAAGAAGAGCAGAAAAACAGAAACCTGTCACCCCGCGCCACTTCCTAAGTACTTACTATGACTGACTAACTAGCACAAGCAACAAGCCCTCTTCAGAACGCGAAACGCGAAGACGGCGACCACGACAGAAAACAAAATGGCGAAGCTTTTGTTTGTTGTTTTGTTGTGGTATCCGAACGGAAGTTACGATTTTGTAAAACGTTTGTAAACAATTGCGACATTAATTCGATGGATTGTTTCTTAAACCTAAAAATATGTAATTCAAAAGGCGATTTAAAAAAATCACGAAGATTTTAAAACCAACATCTAAGCTGTCACTCATTCTATTGGCCAATGAGAAGCTGAGTTGAATGACCATCGCTACCAATGAGAAGCCGAGCTGAATGACCATGGAATTTGCGCGCAAAACTTCAAATAAATCTCTCGCCGTCAATATTGCTCTAAAAAATTTTTTTTTTCGCGTAAAATTCATTTTTTGCCACGCGTGTTCCAACCAGACTGTTTAAAAAAAACTTTTTTTTTTCTTTTCAGGGGCCCTTTAAGAAGCTGGTGACGTCGGCACCTGTCCTGACATATTTTGACCCGCGTCGACCCATTATACTGGCATGCGATGCATCGGCGTATGGAGTAGGGGCAGTCCTGTCCCATGCGTTTGAAGATGGAACAGAGCGGCCAGTTGCTTTTGCTTCTAGGACCCTGACTGAGCACGAGAAGAATTATTCTCAGTTAGAAAAAGAAGGCCTAGCTATCATCTTTGGAATAAGAAGATTCCACTACTATTTGTATGGCTATCACTTCACGCTGATCACTGACCACGCTCCCTTACAGAAAATCCTAGGCCCAACGACCGGGATCCCTACAATGACAGCAGCGAGGCTCCAGAGGTGGGCCTGTCAGCTAGCCGCACACCGCTACACCATCGTCCACCGGTCTTCCGAGGAAAATGCCAATGCAGACTGCTTGTCAAGACTCCCAAAAGCAACGGACAACCCCAACACAGACGCCGTCGACGAAACGTTCGCCTTCTACTGTGAGTACTTCGACAATGTACCTCTTAGATGTAAAGACATTGCACGGGCGACGTCCAGAGACCCCCTCCTAAGTCAGATCGTGGAAAGAGTAAAGCATGGTTGGGGCCCAGAACGCAAGCCAACCGATCCAGAGTATGCACCCTTCCACGTACGCCGCAATGAGCTGTCACTCCACCAAGGATGCCTCATGTGGGGTTTACGAGTGGTGATTCCGAAGACCCTGCAGAAAAGGGTCCTAGAAGAACTTCATGGGGACCATTATGGCATCGTGCGCACTAAGGAAATGGCTAGGAGCTATGTTTGGTGGGCATCCCTGGATAAAGACATGGAGAGGGAAATTGGAGGGTGTACCATGTGTCAGCTGCACCGAAACAATCCGTCCGCTGCTCCCCTGCACCCTTGGGCATGGCCGACACGTCCATGGGAGAGACTGCATGTGGATCTGGCGGGACCTTTCATCGGTAAAATGTTCCTCGTGCTCGTGGATGCTCACTCCAAATGGCCAGAGGTGTTTGTCTTGGAGTCTACGACGTCAAAGGTCATAATCCAGTGTGTACAAGATTGCTTCGCACGGTTTGGTCTGCCCACAACCATGGTTTCTGACAATGGGCCTCAGTTTGTGTCGGAGGAATTTCAAACTTTCTTAAGGAACAATGGTATCGCCCAGGTCACGTCTGCACCATACCATCCCGCTACGAATGGACTAGCTGAGCGGTTTATTCAGACCATGAAAAACTATCTGCGGAAAACAACTTCGAGCCATCCCCTCCGTACAAGGTTGTCACGTTTTCTTCTATCGTACCGGAACACCCGGCACCCGACAACAAGAGAGTCTCCGGCCCAGTTGATGCTACAGCGGCATCTTCGCACCAGACTGGACCTCCTGAAACCATCAGTTGCAGACTGTGTGGCCAGCGCACACTACCGCCAACAGCGGCAACACCCAGGACAAGAGCGGGCTTTCACTGCAGGAGACCAAGTCTATGCCAGAGATTATCGAAGTGGTCACAAGTGGCAGCTAGGAACAGTCGCTGCCCAAACTGGTCCAGTGTCTTTCCAAGTGCAAGTCTCCCCGGGACGGGTATGGCGAAGGCATCAGGACCAGTTGCTCCGAGCACCGTCGCAAGACTCCGGACCTTCAGAGTCTCGTCCAGACGAAGCGGGAGGGGTGTCTGCCACGGCTTGGACAGACAGCACACCGGAAGACAGCGCAGGCGACAGATGCCTTTCACAGGCCTCTTTGCCTGCACCATCCGAAGTCCCGAGGCCAAGAAGCAACACCCAGGATGCTGAGACGCTCATGGATGCAGATAATAGTGACGGAGAGCGACGGTATCCCGTGCGGGATCGGCGCAAGCCTCAAAGGCTAATAGAATGGAAAAAAAAAAAAAAAAAGCGACGGACTTTTCTAAACTATTTACTGTTAATGGCCGGATGTTACCAACTGGGTATGTTTGTTTAAAAAGGAGGGGAAAGATGTGGTGTCCAGAGGGCACTACGAGCGCGGGGACGGTAGCCGGGCAAAAGAAAACCTGGTGCGTATGGGACTTCAGAGTTGTACTCGGCACGAGCGGTGCTGGAGGGTGGCAGTTGAATAAAGGTCTTCAAAAACGCAACAATTCTTCTCGTGCGCTTCTTTCTTTTTCTTTTTTTTTATGGCGGAAGAAGCAGCCGTTTTGTGGACTCACACGCACACAAGAAGAAAGAAACGAAAATAACCTCTAGCCCTTTTCACCAAACTGAAAAAAAAAGAAAACGCGCGCTTTTCCCCAAAGCCCAAATGTGTTTTTGTTCGGGGCACTGCCGGACAATGACAGGACCTCCCGAAGGTCATGATAATCAGGGAAAACCCAGCGATAGAGAACCCTTTGGGTGCTTTTTTGTCCTACTTTCCACCTTGGGCCCTTTTTTTCCGGGGACATATTTTCCGGGAAGTTTTCTTCCGGGGACATTTTTTCCGGGGACGTTTTTTCCGGGGACATTTCTTCCGGAACCCTTTTTTTCCGGGGACGTTTTTTTTCGGGGATATTTATTCCGGGGATATTTCTTCCGGAACCAGTTTATTTTAGCTCGCGAGAAAGTACGCAAGCTCCGTCTCACGCCTGGCAATGGATGGAACCGCCAGAGGCATATTGTTGCCAGAAGGTTACTTATTTATTTAGTTATTCTCTGCAGCGCCGGAGCATTACAGCAGAGGAGTGGGTTACATGATTCACATATATCATTATAAATTGGAAAGTCACATAACAGCACACATCAGCAATTTCCAACAACATCAATAAACATGATTCACACCAGCACACAATAGCAATATTACGAAAAAACCAATGATGTACTTAACACGGAAACTTACATTGCATTAATAAGGCTAATAAAAGAGTCACTGTTAGCTGATACAATATCAGACGGCAGTTCATTCCATTTCGACATAGTTCTCGGAAAAAAAGAAAACATCATACTGTTAGTTCGACATTTTATTTCGCGTATTTTTTTTACGTGGTCCCTCCTACTCGATATATAGTGGGGCATTTCTAGATAATTAGACTTGTCTATTCCAGTTAAATCATTGTTGATAGCGTAAATAAGTTTAAGTCTATTTTTCTTACGTCTTTTTTCTAAAGGCTCGATACCCATACAAACTTTCATTTGTGTCACACTCTCTGCTCGAGGCTCGATACCCATACAAACTTTCATTTGTGTCACACTCTCTGCTCGAGAATACTTATTCAGAATAAACCTCACAGCGCGATTTTGAATGCCTTCTATCTTATCTATGAGATATTTTTGGTGCGGGTCCCATACGGCACTCGCATATTCTAGATGTGGTCTAACTAGTGAGCGATACGCTGTCTCTTTCAAGATTTGTGGAGCAGAGCGAAGATTGCGGATGACTAAGCTAAGAACCCTGCCAGCCTTTTTCATGATCATATCTATGTGCTGATTGAACGAAAGGTTTTCTGAAAGAATGAACCAAGATATTTAATTTCAGACACTTTCCGCAACGAGTCTCGACCAATAGCATAAGCCGACTCAATATTATGTTTCTTTTTACTAAAAGCGACATGAAAACATTTGCTTGTGTTTTACCCCAGTTCCCAGGTCCCGCACCATAAACTAACCCGGTTCAAATCCTCTTGCAAAGAAGAGACATCGTTAACGTTCCTTATTGTTCTGTAAATTACACAATCGTCCGCGAATAATCTGATATTAGAAGAGATGGAAGACGCTATATCATTAATGTAGATTAAAAATAAAAGTGGTCCCAGCACTGACCCTTGAGGTACCCCCGAAGTTACATCTACGTATTCTGATCTTTTACCCCCCGAGGACGACGCACTGTTTCCTCCCACTCAGGTAGTCTTTTATCCACCGGAGCACATTACGGTCGATATTTAAAGCACTCATTTTGTCTAATAACAATTGATGCGAAACAGAATCGAACGCTTTGCGGAAATCCACAAAAATGGCATCCGTTTGCAGTCTGTTTTCAGCCGCACTAACTAAACCATGATAGAGCTCAATTAATTGGGTACTGCAGGAGACACCTCTACGAAAACCGTGTTGGTTAGGGCAAAAAAAGTTATTATCTTCTAGGTACTTAATTATACTACTATAGACAATATGTTCAAATATCTTACATGATATACAGCTCAAGGAAATCGGCCTGTAATTGTCAACAATTGATTTTGGACCATTTTTATGAATTGGTACAACATACGTTTGTTTCCATTCTTTAGGGAGCAATCCGCTTTCAAGAGATTTACAAAAAATTACATAAAAGTATTCTGAAACTATACACGAGCAGGCTCTTAATACCTTGGGGGACATCTCGTCTGGACCGACGGCCTTGTCTTCTTTTAAAGAGTTTAAGCAATTTCTTATTCCCTCTAGCGCGATTATGACGGGAGGCATAGCATTTTCCACTCTATCTGTAAGAATCGGCAAATGTTCGTAGTCACCGTTTTTGAGAAATATTGACTGAAAATAATCATCGAAACAATTAGCTTTAGTTGTATTATCTGTTATGACTCTACCAGTATTTGTAATACTCGGAATGCCTGTTCTTTCTTTTCGTGTTTTTCTAAGGTAACTCCAAAAGGCTTTCGAATTTATGTTGATAGCCCTTGCCAGTCCAGAGAAATAATCCTCCTTGGCCGTACTTATGGTGCTCCTATAAACTATATCCAGCTCTTTTAGACGGTACTCAAGATTGGCAGTAGGATTTTTTTTTTTATACTTGGAATACATACGTGAGCGTTTTCTAACTACTTTTTTTACTTTATAATTCATCCAAGGTTTGTCGGGTTTTGGTTTGTCCTTTACATATTTACAAGGAATGCGCTTATCGACAAGCTTTGACAGCAGATTTCTGAAGTCAGTCCACAGTGAGTTGGCATCATAAGTCAATGATTTTGACATAAACATATTTAGTTCGTCCTCTAGATCATTTATAATTTCATTGCAATTGGCCTTACCGTAGATGTACACTTTTTTAACATCGTGGCTGGCAGGGACTAATTGCGGCAGGATAAACTTAGCAGTAACTATGTGATGGTCGCTTATTCCCGGTAGGACACTCACACATCGAACCACATTTGGGTCATTGCATAGTATTAGATCTAGAATATTGGCACCTTCTAGTAGCAGTCGAGACATACTGCTTAAGGCCATACGTACTGATTACATCCAGAGTGTCGAACCGATAATTTTATCGGTTCGGTTCGGGTTCGGGTTCACGGCTTTCGGTTCAGTTCCGGTTCAGTTCCGGGCGCAAAAAATAACGGTTCAAACCGGTTCGAACCGGTTCAAACCGGTTTGAACCGCTAAATTGAGAATATATTTTCCGCGTTGTTCTGTCAATAGGCACTATTTAGGCCGTGAAACTAACTGCTGTAAACGATCTGATTTTTGCGAGGACCTCTTCTTGAGAATTTCGCGAATCGCCTACAATTCGCGAAAAATGGGTCCCGCGAAAAATTTCGGTAAAATGTAAACACATTGAAATTTATATTGAGATTCCACCGCGGTCGAGAAAATTACAACCCGCGAATTATTCCAAAACTTCAGCTTTGACCTAGATCGCGAAATATTGAGCCCACGAAAAATAAGTCTTTAGAGTATTTAGTTTTCTTCTTTTTTTTTATCGTTTGTTCAATCCAGTTTTATTTTCAGGTACAAAAATTATAAAATTCTGTTATTTATTCCTACACAACAAGAAAAGAAAATTTACATTAACATACAAAACGCCGAGTTCATACGACTCAACATCTTTTCGTTTACCAGAGTCACATACATTGTACCTGAATCGAAATGTTTTCGCGAAGTGAAGTAGGTTGCCTAAAATACCCGTGATTGGTACAACTTTGTATCGCAGTATCAGATGTTGAATCGTGGTTTTGCCCTTGAACTAAGGAATTAATTACAGTGAATAAAATCATGAAATGGGCACCTCGTCGCATATATACCATAAAATGTGTTTTACGGAATACCTTTCACAATATATATATATATATGATGACGAGAGGACTGAGCTTAAGGCAATATAATTTTCAAAATGTCACGAAAGTCACGGGACAAGTCCTTCCAGTCTATATTTTATAGAAACACTAAGCGACAATTGCAATGCTTGTTTTTGTAACTAGTATTGTTTGCTCTCAGCACCATGATGCGGGCGACGAGTCATGCGAAAAGGAGTGGCTGAAATTGTTCACTCTAATCTATGGGGACCTTCGTACTGAGATCGAATCTGACCTAAAACAGTGCTTACCCATGTGTACATTTTCTTATATTGGATAAACTGGCATAGCCTGGATGTTGTGGTTTGCTCTTGACAAAATGCCGGTCAATTTAATTTGCAAATTAGCATCACCCTCGCTAATTGATGATTTTTGTTAAATAGAACAGAGTGGTATTTCGTGCTCTACTCAATTCGGAAGCTACTTAATCGGACACTTTCTGAGAGTTTAAGTGTGCAATCGTCATAGTTCCACCATTCGTTCCAGTAAAAAAACGCGATAATAAAAACACATAAAAAAGGCGATAATAAACTTCTATATATTTGAGAAGTTATATATGCGTGAGGAACATATAGGTATTTAAATTAGCTTCAACATAAAAAAAATATTTAAACCTTTTCCAAATCACCTATAACGTGTCTATAGAGGATAAAAGCGCCGAAAAAATTTGCAGAAGATCTTTCAGATAATTTAAAGGTGCATTTACTTATCTATCTTTGAGGTGAGGATCTTCTATTTATGCTGCCAAATATTCCGACAGGAATTAAGTATATTTTTATTATCATCGATAAATTTGACTTTATGAAGTTCACATAACCGCCTGAGACCGACACGGAAGGACGATACTCGAAAATACGCCAGCTGTTGAGTCTTCGGCAACGTGCTTTTGTTAGCTGTTTTGCAGTGTAAAACACTGGGTTGCAGGGTATGCCAAAAAACACTGTGG